GTCTGTCCACACATGTCCCTGCATGCAGCCAGGTTCAATACGCACTCAGTTATGCTACATTCTCGGGGAGATAAAGCATTGAAAGAGAAATTCCATCTAGATATTCCCCAGTGGCCTTAACCACAATTAGATGCTAGAGCAAGAATGAAAAGTTTTGGAGTTGGACCAACCCCAGGGTCACATGGTAAACTAGCAGGAGTCAAGATTGTGCCAGGCCACAGTCTTCCCCACTTACCCCACACAACATGTCTTATTTCTCCTCTCTGATTTTGCCAATGGAATGGCAAATTTTTTGGATTTCCTAACCATTCCAAACCAGATTTTTTTTTTTTTTTTTTTTTTTTGGTGCCATGAATTGAATCCAGGAGCATTTAACCACATACCCAGCCCTTTTAAAAAAATTTTTTAAAAATTTGACACAGTGTCTCTCTCCAAGTTGCTTAAAGCTTTGCTAAGTTGCTGAGGCTGGCTTTGAATTTGCAGTCCTCCTGCCGGCCTCAGCCACCCGAGCTGCTGAGATTATAGGTGTATGCCACTATGCCCAGCCAAGAACAATTTCCAAGAAGTGCTATTTTAGTTAAACCTCGATTGTCTCTAAGGAGTCTTTTTCTCATCTTCCCAGTGTAATCTGAAAATCACTCACATAGTTTGATGGTCTTATAGAGATGGAATATCGTACCAGGGAAGAGGTGGGCTGAGATCTGGGCATTTGCCTCCTGCTTTGCTCTCTGCCAACTATCAGACCCTTACTTCATCTCTCTGATTTTACTGTTTCACTTTCTTTACCAAAGGGTGAGCAGAAATATATCCAAATCCTTTCCTACCTGGTCAGCAGTACCTCAGTTCAAAGGTTTGACAGGGAAGATGCAGGAATTCCTGCCTCAAATGAGAGGTTTTGGATGACCCCTGACGTGTGTCTTCTCTTCTTAGGCATGGCTGAAGGCAATTGATAGTTTCTTCCATCTTCCCTCCCCAGCCCTACTTCCTCTTTCAAATAAGTTTTCATATATAATAACTTTAAGCTTTTTGTGGGGGAGGGAGTATTGGGGATTGAACTCAGGGGCACTGACCACTGAGCCACATCCCCAGCCCAATTTTGTATTTTATWTAGAGACAGGCTGTCACTGAGTTGCTTAGCACCTCACTTTTGCTGGGGCTGGCTTTGAACTCAGGATCCTCCTGACTCAGCCTCCTGAACTGCTTGGATTGCAGACCTGTGCCACCGTGCCTGGCTATGCTATCTTTAAATAGCCCTAATGGGCTAGGGATGTAGCCTAGCATGTGTGAGGCCTGGGTTCCATCCCCAGCACTGCAACAAACACAAAAATCAAACAGGCTAAGACATGAAGATCTAGAGTTTTAAAACACTAATCAGTCTTCCAATGTATTACTCCTATGTCTAAGTATAGCAAGAAATCTTAACCTATCCGGGTGGACTGGTGCATGCCTATAATCCCAGCTACTTGGTCAGTCTGGGCAATTTAGTGAGACTCTGACTCAAAATAAAAAGTAAAAAGGGCTGGGGACATAGCTCAGAAGTACAGTACCCCTGGGCTCAACCCCAGTTAAAGTACACACACACAAACACACACATGGCTTAACCTAAACAATTGTGCTGTGTTGGAAAAAGGTGTGTTAAAAGGAAATGATTTATGTGGCCCCAGAAAGCCTGTTAGTGAGGCTTTAAGCAACTTGGAGAGAGACTTTGTGTCAAATTACCAAGTGGCACTTGAGCTTGAACATTCTTCTGGAGTAGAGATGGATACACCCCTGTAAGTRTGGTGACACCAGCCATTCAGACAGTTCAAGCATTTGCCTTGCTTAGGCTTCATGAGCAGAAGTTATATTTTTGGTTGTCATATTGAAGTGGCACCCACTTTCTCCTCTGAAAAGTCTTAACTGGGCCTCTCCAGAAATCTTCATCCAGACTGATTTTAGGACTGTCAGCAAAAGAGTCTTTGCAAAAGAGTCCAATGTAGATAAACTTCCTATTTTTGCGTCGCCCTGTTTTACTTGGCCACTGGCTGGGAAGGTATCAGCACTCCAGGTGCTGGAAACCCCCTTACTAGTTTTTCACAAACGTATCCAGTATAGTACTTTGAAGAGGTGTGCAAATAAGGCCTCTGGCCTTGAGCTTGGCTTCACAGAGATGTCTACATTTTTAAGATAAGTTACAAATGGGCCCATGGTAACAGCTGGCAGGGGGAGGAAAGRAAGGGGAGAAGAAGCTCTCCCCTTCTCAGGTGTTGTCCTTGAAGAGTTAGCTTGCCCAAAACAATGAAAGAAAAAGCTGCTTTTATGTGAACTTCTGCAGACTGTGAACTTCTGAGCCCCTCCCTTTACATGCTGGGTATAAAACTCTGAAACTCCCTGAACTTGGGGTTCAGGGGATTAATTGATTACAGCAAAAGCTGTRCCCTCTGAACCTGGCTGCAGCCAAATAAAACTGTTTCCTGCTATCTTTGGTGCCTTGCCTCGTTTGTCCCTACAACAATATGACTTTTCAAATATGTGGGCCTTTGAGCTTTTTACTGTAAGTAATGAAATGGTATTCTGATTTGACACCCTCCTCTTAGGACATGGCAGTAAGAGGTCCTCCAGAGAGCCTTCTCTTCCATATATGTGACTTCTAAGGACAGTGATGTGGTGCTGGCTAGGGAGGTATTATTTGAAAAAAGTTTTAGAGAAGTAAAGACTTGCTTATGGCTGGCTGCACATCAGGATACAGAACTCCGAATCCACTACTCTTCAAGGCAAAAGCTTTGTAGTCTATGAATCTAGCAGGTTGTTACTTCTTGTGTTCTAGGTCCATGTTGGAGGCAACTGGATGTTAACGACACCACACAGAGTAATATGTTTACATGTTTTATTTATGACAGAGTTCCAAAATTATTTGCTGGTGAAGGACACGCCATTCTCACCTGTCAGTGACAAGAAGGCTGTGCCCTAACAGATCGAGGTCAGAGGCTGGAAGCCACCTCCCTGATACCCACTGAGTTATCTTCTTTGGATCTGACACAGAGTAAGCTAGGGAGTTGTCTGGTCACATGTACGTTTCGGAGGGAACCAGGCGCGACTGGCAGAGAACTTAAAAGCAACCAGTGACCATAGGGAGAGTATATGGTAATGGAGAAAGGAGAGCTCACAAACCATTACTAAGATGGAGGGCAAAGCAATTATTTTCTAGAACTGGGGGTAGGGAAAAAGACAGAAGAGAAGAGCATGTTCTCTTCCATAGTCACCTGACCCAAGGAGCTGAGCGGGCCTTTATACGCCATTGAACCAGCATTTTAGGATACGAGGTCACAGCCAGAATGACACAGTAGAGGTTCATTCTTCACCATTCCTTACCACATTGGGGTTAGGAGGTTGGATTTTTAAGATTCTCTATGTGGCATAGAAGAGGGGTGCAAATCTAAGGCTCAACAAAGACAAGATGAGAGCACAAAAAGGGAAATAAAGGGCCGAGCTTTAGAAAGGACTCTATTGGTGCATGCGCATATGTGTGGTATCTTTTCTAGCAAGAGTATTTTGGAAGGAATTTAACATAAGGAAAAAGACTTCAGTTTTGTGACTCTTTTATGACTCCATCCCCTGCCCTTTTTATTTTAAGACAGGGTTTCACTAAGTTGCCCAGGCTGGCCTTGAATATGTGATTCTACTGCCTCAGCCTCCCAAGTAGCTGGGATACTACAGGCCTGTGCTGCAAAGATTGGCTAAATTTATTTTATATTAATTAATAAAATACCAGTCTCTTTCATTTTTTTGTGGTTTGGGGAATTGAACTCAGGACCTTGAGCACGCTAGGCAAGCACTCCACCCCCAGCCCTCTGAGCCTCTATTTTTAAGAAACTAAGTGGGTGTAGGTCCATGTCTGTGGAAAGAAAAGTGGAGATAAGATGCAGGGCTGCAGTGTCTTTTCCAGCGAAGACTGGTTCCTCCTTCAGCATCATCCTGTGAAAACTCCCAGGGGAGTTGGAGCTATTCTTCAGCTCACACTTTCCATAAAGGAACTTGGGGAGCAGACAAGATCCTTTATTATTTTTTAACCTGTGGTGTTTTAAAAGAGAACAGAACTTATTTGTGCACCTGGATGAGAGCTGCAGGAAGGAGTTATCTGAGATATGAAAACTCAGCAGGTAAATGACCTGCCAGGAAGCTGTTTGGACCTGAAAGTGGGGTCTGATATCAGTTGTGCTGGAGATTCAATGAATGGAACCATAAACAAAACAAGACAAAACAAAAACCTATGGGAGAGGAGGTGGGTGGAGGAGAAACTCAGAAGGAAAAGCAGCCAATAAGGAAAATGCCCAAAAGCAGTTCATTAAGAAAGAGGGGAAGAGAGGTTGCCAGCTCTGCCTCTTGCTCATCCCTTCTAGAGCTCCGGGTTCCCTGCTCCCCATGTGTGGACTCTCACCACCTTTACTCAGTGGGTGGAACAGAGCTTGTGCTCCAAGGTCCTGAGACTGGCAACCAGGGCAGTGAGCCCTCTGGAGGGCAGCAGGCCAGAACAAGACGGGTCTGTGCTTGTTCTGATGGGGTGGTGGCGGCAGTACCCTTCTCAGTTTCACCGGTATCTAGTGGCATGACCCAAAAGTGGAGACACATTGAGGATGGCACAGTTACAAGTGGGCATGGGTTTTTATTCTCAGTGCATGGCAGTATTGGTTTCTGCTCATCAGCAAAAAAGCTTTATTGATTCCAAAAAATTATCCCTTTTAAAACTCCTCTTCTTCCCGTCTCAGTGGAACAACATATTTGAATTTCAGATTTGCCAGTTTATAGCATTTTCCCCCCTAAGAACCATATAAATACATGCAAAACATTGTACATAGAGCTTAAATAATATCAAAATGCAAATACAGGTTGGGTGCACTGTTAAGCTGAACTGTAAGTTATGGCCACACACACTAGGGTACACATTGCTTTGATATCAACATTTGTTTGTCATGCAGACCACAATAGTCAACCTTTAGTTGTTTTCTTTTTTTTGTACAAAAATACCAGTGCTAGTTATACTAGTTACTGAAAAGAAGAAGAAGAAACTCAAAAGTCCTATCTGCGTGCTGATTTGAAAGGAACAACATAGATTTGTTGGCACATATATATGGCATATTTACATATGGCATATATACATCTGGGGAGAAAGCATGAGCCAAAGGCCGATTCAGTCATGGGAGCTCATCTCGCTCCATCTCTCCTAATCAAGAGGAAAGGGGACAGCAGGCCTGACTGCAGAAGTTCTGGCACTGAGCCGAATGTAAGGGAGTCTGGTCTATTCTGAGGAAGAGGCTAGAATGGCTTAAGAACAGCAGGCATTTATTTATAAGCGCCCACCACCCCCAATGCAGTGTGATATGAAAGGTGAGCAGTGTGTACATTGGGGTGGTACCCGGGTGGCTTCAGTTGTAAGGCAAGGGATGTGGGGAAGAAAGGAAAGGGGTGCAGGAAGAGGTTTTCTGGCACATTCGAGTTTGCCATGCCCCTCTGGGTTTTTGGCAGTGAGGTAATCACTCAGATTTGTCTGTGCAAACTCTCCCCTTGGAAGTTTGAAGGGAAGAAGAAACCCAACCCCAAAGAATCCACAAGTGCCCAGAGGGACTTCTAGGTGGTCTCTTTCTTAACACCTTTAGGGATAGGAGAGTCATTTCAGAGGACAGAGGACATCTGTGGGAAGGACCTAGACCTGAGACTGTCACCCAGGGTTGGAACCAGTCACTGTGTTTTCCATTTGGAGCTCTGTCTCCCTTCTAATATATTGCACAAAATCTTTATAGAGGAAGAAAGGAGTCACAAATCAGATCCGTGCATGAAAACTCACTAATGGAAAACTCCGGGGGGTGGGGGAGACAAAGTGGAAGAACCATAAAAAAATGCAAACTCCAAATCAGAATGTTCCCGTAGACCAGGAGAGACCAATGTCTTTGGTGCCACTCTGCCAGCTTATTCTTGGACAAACACAAATCCAACAGAAGGGTCCTGATCCCAACCACTAGTTCCGAACAAGCCTGGTCATATGTCTGCACTGGGGCGGGCGGGCGGGGAGTGGAGTGCTCGCTCATTTCCTGACAGCTGCTTCCCTTCTTCCTGGCTGATTCCCTTACTATCCTCAGTTCACTACCAGTTTTTCTAGGTTTATCAAGAGAGGAATCTAGGATGATCATTTCTCCTTTTCCCCATCAGACCCTTTTCAAATCCAAAGCACCATTTTGGGGAAAAGCATTATTAACTTATGCCATATTTACTCACTGCCAGTTGGATCATTGAAACTGAATAGAAAAAACTTATATATAAAAAACATATGCACATAAACACTTAAACTTACTCAATTCCATATCAACAAAATTTATATTAAAAAAGTCTAGAACCCAACAAGTTTTATTCCCCCCTAAGTATAAAGATGGCTGTTTGGAGAAAGGAAGTACGATGTATTGGTTTTTAAACCAATTACAAATATACTAGTCACCTGTCATGTCGAACAGCTGGTTATGCACTCCCTTCCACAGGGTTACATGACGGCACTTTATTTAAATCCTTTAAACAAAATACATATGGCTGACTCAAAAATATCAGTTTCTGATCTAAAGAAAACTATATTTTTTTGCATAATATTTCTATATTTTCTCTCTTACTATGGAAACTAGAACACACACCAAAAAAAAAAAAAAACTGTTGACTTTAAAAAAGTAGACATAAGCCCTCAGGCACYGTGAGAGTCTTTTGGGAGCAGGAATGGTAACATGGCCTCCAAAGCTTGTTATTGGCTTGCTTTTCAAAATGATCTGAGGTAATAAAAGACTTGACAGAATTAAATCTTCCAATGTACTTAATAAATATATATGTGAACACCTAACACCTTGGGTGAGCTGTTTTCCCCCCATGAGCATTTAAGACAGAGAGAAGATAGCTGAAGCATGTAACCCCTATTTCCTACAAGGATGGATGGTGTAGTAATGGGGAGGTGTAGTGGGTATTGTTTCTCTACTCTTCCTACCTCGGACCGCTCAGGTGAAAGGGGTGAGGGAGGAGGGATCAAGAAGAAAACGCTGGAGTGGACAGGTGCAGATCACCTTCCTCTCCCCAATGGAAATTTGGCAGTTCCCAAGAGGCTAGGGAGCCCTCTCCTTACTGCCCTCACTCTAAAGGGTGTGGGTGGGCTTCATTTATCTAAGGGGAGTGGGAATGGGGGATATGAATTAGCTCCACCTGCACAGAAGAGCTTACGTCAACAGCAGGGATAAAAATGGAGCTCCTGCAAATTCGGCTCCACCTTGTCCCAGTAAGGAACACTTTGAAAAGTCTCTTAGCAAAGTCCCCAACTCCTGAGAGGCAGGTGGGCAGGGGATGCTTTGGGCAGTGTTCAGGGCAAAAAGGCACAGGGCTTTCCTGGGCAGCAGTGGGAGCATGCTGCTGGGGAGGGGCTTGAGGGGGGCATGTGGGAGAAGGGAGGAGAGGAGGCCGGGGTGGGTCTTTTGCTCCTTTAAGTCAGCACAATACACAGGGGCCTCTCCCTTTGGATATGTGACTGCAAAACTGGAATATGTGCAAAAGGCTGAGGCTGAGCAAGTTGTGGGCACAGCAAGCGCAGAAAGAGGAGACTGAGAGAATGTGGAAGCTGGTCCCCAGGAACCTAAGCTCAAGGTCTTGGATGCCTACAGGGAAGTTTCCTCAGATCCTGCCAGAGTGGCTCTGCAGCCTTTCCCAAGGCCTCTCGACACTCACTTCCCCAACAACTGGGTCCTTCCCCGGAAGAGTTTTGGCAGATGGCTTTGAAAGCAGTGGTCACCTCAAGGAAGACCCCATAACTGTTTGCTGGGATGGTCTACCTTCTCCTAGGCCTGTATGCTTCTGATCTTCAAAACCCAAGTTCCTCCAGGAGGCAGGCCCATGCCCACTTCATTCTTTTGCTGCCACTTTAGGAACAGGAGGAAGCTCTGGCCTATGGTAAAACTGTATGTCATACATGCAAGCTTTATGGTCAAGGCTGACCTTCCTGGCACTTAAAAACCACAGCTACCTGACAAGAAGGCAGTTCAGAAGTAGAAGCTAACCTGGCAAAGAGAAGGAAACAGTCTTTCCAGCTCTTGACCCTTTTAGCAAAGAAATCTGTCTGCCTCTAGAATTTGAGTGTTCAATTGGGGCTTGAAGGGAGAATGGTCAAAGTGGACTCTACTCATCCACATCCTTTCCATTCTCTTAATTTTAAAAAAACTTGAGAGAGAGAGAGAGAGAGAGAGAGAGAGAGAGAGAGAGAGAGAGAGAAAGGAAAGAAGATGAGGGTTACAAAAGACTAAAAGAACCTTGGGAGGGCAGAAAGAGCCGGAGGCCTTCAGGTCTAAGTACTCAAAATGGGCAAAATTATTTTAAAAACAATCACTCTCCGACTGATTTTTTACATTCCATTCCTGCCTCAACACATTTGTGGATCATCACTCTCTCAACTTGACTTATAAATGGCAGACACTCAGGATAAAAAAAAATCCTGAAGTCAGGAGATGGTGACATGTGTGTGAACACAGGAGAATCTGGGCTGGGGTGATGTCAGGAGCACTGTTGTGACTTCTTTAGAAACGGCCAACCGATATACCCAAAGAGCAGATTCTACCATTACCTGCCTGGCACTTGACTAAGTCCTGCTACCAACCCCAGCTCAAGGTTAAGTTGGAATCCTTGCAGGCCTGTGCTCTTGCTTCTTCATGGTCGGGTGGGGGTTCTCACACACTTGGGAGTGGCTGACATGACAGTGAACAGTCTCATCATCACCTTATAGATGAGATGGATGAAAAAGGAGATAGGGAAAGCAGGGATGGGAGTCAGAGAAAAGAAGTTCAAACTGATGTCTCCAGGCTTTGGAGAGGGCTGTCCGAATGGGAGGCGACAACTTGCACTTGGCTGCTCTCCACCGCGTTGTTGTTCTGGTTGGCGTATGGAGTGACCTCACCATCCAACAGAAGCACCCCAGTCCCAGTCGTAGGAACATGTTCAAGGCTTTTGTCCTCTTGCTCATCCAGGAATGGTGTTTGCGGCAAATCCTCATCTATGGCAAATTCAGGGTGGGTCATGAAGTTGTGGATGGATTCTTGGTTCCCGAGTTTCTGGATGCTTACAGAACTATGGAACGCTCTGACCACTTTGATCTATATCAGGGGAAGGAAAAGGAGGATGAGAAGATAGGTGGTGAGAACTGGCCCACAGAACAAGGAATGAGTGGTTTGAGGAAACAAAACCCAAACTATAAAACATGACTGCTCAACAATCAAAACCAAACATGGAAGAGATCATGGGGCACTAGAAGTGTCATGTGGCTCAAATTTCAAGCACTAGGGTGGGGTGAGTGACGGCAAACAACGATGATGTTTCAAAAGTTGCATTAAAAAAAAAGTCGAAAATCCAAAAGCAAAGTTAGCATTCCCAAACAATCCACTCTTAAAATGAAACAGAAAACAAAAAAGATTCATCATTAGTTCTTTTGGCTAGAGGGTAAGGATGTTGAAACTAGGCACAAATTAACAGCCAAACTTAAAAGATGATTCACACTGTGGATTTCTGTGTTGAGGCCAAACAGTTTGTGAACGTGGAATGGAAAAATTACACACTTAAGTTCAGTTATCTGTTTAAAACCCTCAAAGAGCCAACATATACCAATCTGCATATAATACACACTGGGTGACAAGTGATCATGGATATTGTGCAGGCAGGCAGACAAACCAATCTTCATTCAGCAGCATGCAGGAAATTAAAGCTCTCCAACTTAATAATCTGCCTGTCAGTCAGAAGACATGCACATATTTACATTCCACAACCTCCGCTGCGTCCCCTCCCCTGAAATCCTTCATTCCCTCCCCTAGAAGATGTGGATAACATACAGGGGCAAAAGACGCCTTCCCTCTGCCTACTGAGAGAAGACCTGGCCCTCACAACTCAAATGCATTTCCAGTCTCTGATCCACAGCAATGGTGCCCGATCATGCTGCTTTCTCCAGCTGTTTCCAGATTGCAAAGAGGAGCATGATGTTACATGGGGAAGGGAAAACACGGGTCTAGGAGAGAAACCTGATCCAGGAGGTGAGCCATGAACAAGTGGCCTTTCTGATGGGGGCGATGAAGAGGATGGTGGCAAGGAAATAATTTGCAGTTTTAGGGAAATGAAGGAGCCCACGTCAGTCTTTGTTCTAAAGCATGTAAAGGAAGGAATGCAGGCAATTCAGATTTAAGGGGGAAAATACTGATCATAACTGGTCCCTGTGAATAGCTTTTCCTTCTCCACAGGTACYGGCTCTTTTGGTGGGTGCTTTTCTGAACTATAGATTTCTCTGAGGTGTGGCTTAGAATTGGGATGGGGAAGTGGTCGGATTCCAGAGAGATGGGAGAGGGAGGCCAGGGGAAAGGTAAGAAATTGTAGGACAATTTAAGTTTTGGGGGAGGTGGCCAATCCTAGCCTCATCTAAAAGTTCTTCCCTCAGAAAAGATACGGGAGTAACACAGGAGAAGTCATTAAGATGGGGAGGACAAGAAGGAGTGGCGGATGTTGGGATAGGGCACCTCTTTCATTTCTCTGCTGTTTAAGCAAAAATACATATTCCTCGAGAAGAGGCAAGAATGTGGGCAGCGGAGCATACGATGCGTTAGCCAAATAAACTGGTTGTATTTCCTGTCCTCGTACTTCCTATCATTGAATCGAATCTTCAAAAAATACTTCATAAGGAAGCCTCGCCATGGGTCTCTGCTGGCTTCCTCTGCAGCTTGTAGACCCGCTCTGGGCTGAGGGTGCTCAGAGCTTGGAAGGCAAAGGACTCCTTGCCACTCACTGTATCAGCTCAACACCTCAGCCAAGAAGAACCAAGGAACCCGGAAACACACTCACCATGTGGAACAAGAGCAAGGAACCACTGTTCCATCTTTCTATGATACCTATTGGCCCTCTGGTGGTAATTCACCTGTCACATTGCCTATACTCCAGATCTAGTGAGATCAGGTGGAATGAGGGCTCCATCTAAGTTTCAGAAGGTCTCAAGTTTTCAGTGAGCTACACAGAGTGAAGCAACTTGGACTAAGTGAGCCCAAATTCAGTGCTTCTTCTATGGCTCTAGTACAGATTCACTGGCCAATGGATCAGTCCGAAGCATTCCCGCCTCTGTAGGAGGGATAACTCGGTCCACATTTTTGGTCTACTTTTGAGATCTCAAAATTTCTAACAAGTCCTACAGTAGGGCAGGTACCTTTATGCCACAATTTCATTATCTTCTACATCAGTGATTTTTAAAAACTTTCTTCTTCTATTTTTAAAAAGCAATTGAATACTTCACTGAAGTAATTACAAATGAAATCCATTATAAAAACAGATTTTAAAAGGTTAAGTTTGGAGTGTGGGTCTAGAGCCCTGTTTGCTGGCTTTTCCTCCCACTTGTTGGGGTGACCATTAATAACACTGTTATAAGTAAACAAATGAGGGAGATAAAAGTGATTTGGGGATGCGTATGTGGAAAAAATAAGGAAACCTCATTCTTTTGTGGGGAAAAGGAACAGTCATCCAGCAAGACTGCAGGACTTCTGGGGTCTAAAGGGGAACCATCCACCTGTAAGGGAAGCTCAAGTGAAGAGGAGTGGGGCGGCGGCGCCACCTGGCCCAGTGGGTGAAGAGCTGGGTGGTAGGGCTGCAGCACACTGCTCCTCAGTGCCAACATTGGCTCAGAGAACACATGCTGATGAACCATCACACACACATATATCACCACCAACCCACCCCAAGGTTGGCATCTTCCCTTCCTGGAGCATGGTGCTTGGTATGGGAGCAGTGGTGGGGACAAGGCAGGACTGGTGAAATGAGTATGGTGAAAGCCCTGCACATTCTTCACTCAGCCAATGGACCCTTCCCTCCCTGGACATCATTTCTGAAAAATCTCTCGGAAGTCTCTTTGGGGCTAATTGAAGGAAAAGTCCCAGATGACTCAAGAGCCCCAACCAAGCTGGACTTTAGATTGGGTACAAGTGTAAAGATGACTCTGTAGAGCTCAGTGAGTGGTCGGGGGAAGACCCATTTCCTCAGCTGGAATTCTGTGGGTTTCTGCTTCCTCCCTTTTCAGAAACCAGGGGAAGAGAAGGATTAGGGCTTCCCTACAGAGAGAAATCCTATGAGATCTAACTCACAAAGGTTGGATAAATAGCCAAATTCATTTGGAGATCTGGAATGGGAAAGAGGGTTTTAAAATGTATGACTATAACCTCTAGGACCTCACGTAAGAAGGCACAGCTGGAGAAAGAGCAGGTGTAGCCTGTCTCTCTTCTGATCTCCTAGCCTTTGAGGGCTTGGTGCATACCTTCTACTAGCTCCTCTGCCTTCTAATTAGTCTCCTTGCACCATCAAATCACAGGGACACCTGCCATTAACTGTTCCTACCAGTGAGGGATGATTAAAACAAGGACAGAAGATGGTTAGAAGAAAATGGCAAAACTAGAAGAAAAAAGGAATTAAGTAAGAAACATGGAACATGGAAGGAATAGAAGAGAGGTTCTTGGATATTGGTGAGAAAGTTTGTTTTAGTATTTTCTTGTCTACTGTTAGACCTAACAAAATATGGCCTCCCACCCCCATACCTCACCAAGAACATTTATACTTGGCTAAAAAGAAAACACACATATAAATCTCATTAGTCTGCTCAGCTCACAGTCATGTGAACCATGGGCAATACAACTGCTCTGTCTTTTCCTCATGTCCTAAGACTGGGGTTCAGAGTGAGGGAGGAAGGGACAGACCCAGCACTCAGGCAAATCCACAGTATATTTAATGGGGTGGAACTCCTTCCCCACTGGTTTCCTTACTTGCTGCCTCCTTTCTCCTCTCTGCCTTCCATTTGGGAAAGGCATAGCAAAAGTCCTATAATCTACCAACGAGAACCCAGGTCCGAGGCTGAGTGTTGACAGCATTTTAATTGAAAGGTTGACTGAAAAAGGGTTCTCAAAACATTATGTGCAAAATAACATACAGAGGGCTGACTATTGGCAGAACAATTAAACTAAAGAAGAAACAAAAAGGGTTGCTGTTCAGAAACTTCTACAAATTTTTCTCTAAGTGAAGAAAAAAATGTCATTTTGAACTTTTCGTATATTTTTCTTATTCAAAATCTTATGTGAATCAATTGATTCTTAAATCTGAGTTTGGTTTAAATCCCCTGGAAAATAAGATAACAAAGATGCTCAACTTTCTGCATTCGAACTGAACTACCTTCCTTTCTTCGTATCCAGTTATAGCTTTTATGCTAATTTTACCAGCTAACAATGCAATGTTAGCCATAAGGACTATTATTATCGATCAAGTTCAATACTGGCTTAATTAAGCACAGGTCCCTGGTAAACCCATGGGCACAGTAGCTATTTGCTTACCTTTCTTTAGGTTTAGTACCAAGCCTTCCTCTAACTAAAGAGAGTTCCTGGGTTTTCATTTAACCTAACCTCACATCTAAGCTTAGAGGGTAGAGTTTAGATCCAAAGGAGCAGGAGGAAAGGACAGGGACAATAACGACATATCCAATCAAAGCAACACACACACACACACACACACACACACACACACACACATATACACACACACACACGGAAAAAAAAACCCTAAGAGAAAGCAAAACACAAAAACTCAAGGAAAAAAAGAATAAAGCAATGTAGAGGAAACGGTCAGAAAACAGGAGTATTGTCTTTAAAATAGTTAAGGTTTAACAGTTTTCCAACACTAAAAAAATAATAAAATAAAAGGGCCCACAGCCTAGTTTTAGAGTAGGGTTTTTTTTCCTTTTCTTCCCTTTTCTTTAATTGAAAGGTTGATTGAAAAAGGGTTCTCAAAACATTATGTGCAAAATAACATACAGAGGGCTGATAACCATGGTTGGTTAAAGTGGATGCCACGTGCTCTTTTGTGGTCATTTTAGCAAATCATGCATCATAATAGACTATCACTCACTGCCCATAGTAGGAGATGATACAGCAGCAGCAACAGAAGTGGTGGGGGAAGTTTTGATTGGTGCAACTGCTACATAGGTTGAGCTAGGAAGTTTTACATCAAGCGCTTGACCCATGCTCTGCCGCTTTAGGACTCCCTTAAAAGAGGCTCCCGTCTGGAATGTGTTAATTACTTCGATCTGCAAAGAATCAAAGAGTGAGACAGCTTTGCTCCAGTTAGAGAGAGGGGAAGAAAGAGGAAGGTAGGGTCATGAAGGGCAGGGGACAGGGGGATGGAAACAGCTGGGAAAAGGGGATAGGAGATGGAAAGCAGGAGATTTCTTCACCCACAAAGCCATGGCGAGGAAAGGGAGGAAAACATTAATTGCATACCACACTTTGTTTAAGGAACTATTTGCCATTGAGTTCATACACCCAGTCACAATCCAGTTTTCTCTTCCTTTTTAGCGTAAGGTGGACATTTCAGATATACCGATGTCCAAGGTTCTTCTCCTAACCTACCACTCTTATCAGCTGTACAGAGTCTAGTAGCTAATTCATGGTTTTGGCCTTTACTCTTAAAAATAAGACATGCAACTTGAGATACTGAAGGCAAAGTGCATACTACTGAATTTCAAGGCTTAGGAACCTCTAAACCTATTAACCAACTACCGATTTTTTTTTTGCAAATTTTCCAGGAGCATTAATTTGTTGTTTAAAGAAAAACAGGGAGTATAGTAACTCATACATAGGTGGCCATGATGGAAAGGCCACTGGGCTGTGAGCTGCTTGGCTCATTCTCTTCTGGGTGCCTATTCTAAGTAAGATACTCCTTCTCGGGCTGATAGGGAGCTTAGGAATCAGTGGCCAGACCCATTAGAGAGAATGCCACTAAGTCGAATCAATGCACTGGAGATCCTGAAACATCTGGCAGAAATGCTGATGAGCTTAGCAGGAGGAGCTGCTGGGTGGGGTGGTGAGGGGCTGTAGCTCTAGGCCTACCCACGCAGTCTCTGATTTTCACTGCGCTGCTCCTCAGAAACACAGGCAATTAGGGTCATTTATTCTCCAATAATTGCCTTGATCTGGGGCCTCCATCAAATCTACCATCCTTATCCCTGACCTCTAAGTAACAAGGAATGGATTAAAAGGATTCCTTTATCCTTCATAGATCTGATGGAATCTTCTTAGAGATACCCACATGCCTAATTCCAAGGATCAATCCCCCAGGAGAGTAGGAAAGGAGCTGATCTGGTCACTCTGACTTCTTTTCCCCAGAAAATGGGAAAGCAGGTGTCTTGTGACTCACGGCTGTTCTTATCTGTTTTATTTTATTTTTGGGTACGGGATGCCACTGAGCCACATCCCCAGCCCATTTTTCCTTTGAGACAGGGTCTCACTAAGTCCTGAGGGCCCCACTAAATTGCCCAGGTTGGCCTTGAATTTGCAATCCTCCTGTCTCTGCCTCCCGAGTTGCTGGAATTACAGGTGCATGCCACCATGCCCAGCTGGTTGTTGTTACTTGCAAAGCTTCCAAAGAAGCAATTCGATGTTTAGGGTTAGTTTCTAGATTCAGATAAAAGTTTGTGCTAAAACATCACCCCTTCCTCACATTATAGTTTCCAATTCCAGGGGATTAAATCTATAGGAGGAAAGGGTTTACATTTGGTGGGGAGTCTCCAGCTCCATGGGGGTGAACTGTAAAGACACCTGCTTCCATGCCAACTTTGCCTTGAAATTGCATTCCAGCTTTATCTTTCCAAATTTCTAGCCCTCAAATCCCTCAAATTTATGCTTTCTACTGCTTTTAACAAACTAAAGGGTAAAGGAGAGGGAAAGAACAGCCTAGAATTGGGAAAAGAGAAAATTCCAATCAGGACTGAGCCATAGCTCAGCTTTTCCCCCCACCCCAAGGGTCACTATGGGAATGACAATACGGTTCCACAAACGGACGTGGGGGTGGGGATTTTGTTAGAACTCTGGTGAGGCTGAAGAGTAGCCAGAGGCTGCTACAGAACCAGGATGTACATTAGCTGAGAGCCAGGTGACGCTGGAATGGCACAGTTATCCTGGCATCTTCTATAAGCTGCCTTTGGGCTTAAGTTTAGGTTTTAATGCCATTTTGGTCAACTGCCTCATGATGCACCAGGAACAGGTAGTAAACCTAAAGCTATGTAGGCAGGGAGACCAAACAGAGAGGGGCGTGGCCGAGGGGATGGGAACAGGCAGTGGAGGAAGGAAGACCCATGACTTTCAGCCTCCAGGAGAAAGACTGGCGAGGAGCGAGAAGGTACTGGAATGAGGGAATCCTGGCTAGGAAAAAAAAAATCACATAGTGGACAGAGGAGGCAGGTGATCCTAAAGGGAAGAAAAGCAAAGAGGTTATTTTGAAAAGAGTAGACCCAAAGGAAAGCACTGGGCGTTTCAGAGACGGGAGCCAAGGTGCCAGGTTCTGTGGACACTAGATGGAGTCAGCAGCCCGGAGGGTGGCGTGGGGCCTGTGGGAACGCTGGACACCGTGAGGTAGTTTGTGCAGATGCCACTGCAATTTCCCTTCCTGAGAGGAGGAACTCAAGAAAATGGATTCTGCTACCTGGTTCTTTTCTACCTTTCCAGCTGTCTTGCCCATGGTATGGGCAGGCCACTAGCAGCGTAGCTGAGTCTGGCTATGGAAAACGAGTTCTTACCAGGTAAGTAGTTGAGAATATCCATTTTACCTATCTTGCCTATGTATTAAGGAGATGGGGTTGCTGGGGAGTTTTCTCAGTCATCTGCAAGGCCAACTTTTGAGTTAAACAGGTTGGGGATCTCCAGCCAATCAGAAGAGAAATGGGCCTATACTCTGGTGAGTACCCTTAAAATTTTGGATTGATAATTTCCTGAGATGGGGAATCTTGGGAATAAAACAAAAAAATAATGTGTGAGGTGGGAGCAGGGCAAGAGAATTATCAATGCTTAAACCAGCCCACTCACCTGGGAGGTAATTATAATTGATTCATGAAGAGAGAAAAAAAAGTTACTGTAGGGTATAGGCGGGGCACTTAAGAGCAGTGGAAGCAGCTACTATCCCATTTCAGAAATTACAAAAAGGGAAATGGTTTGAAGAAACAATAGCATCTTCCTTTTTGAGAAGCAAGTCTGAATCTTGTAAAAGATACTTGGGCATGGAGAGTGTTGTTGTTCATACCCTGCAACCATCAGATTCCCCACCATGGTCTTAAATTTCAAATGGGAAAGATATAAGAGGGTGAGCCTCTTACAAAGACCCCTCTGGAGAACATCTATTACCATGACAGCAACCCAAGGATGTCACATTAAGTGACTGCTGAGCACAGGCACAGGGATGTTCTCCCACTCCTTCCTGGGAGGGCAGGCACAGCTGATTTCCTATCCTGGGGCCAGGGCTAATGCTTGAAGAGACCTTGTGCAGAAAGCCTGCCTGGGCAACAGAGCCTGCAGCGGGCTTTACAGCCAATCTATAGCTGAAGGACTGTTATTAGGGTCCTCTGGTCGGGGTCCATTGACTACTCTCCTCTCAGAGGAGCCCATGCAGGTACTTCTGCCCCTCTTGGTCCTAAAGCTAGGAAGGTAGGGCTGCCCTTTGGCAGTGAGCCTTAGGAAGGGGAGAAATGCTGGCCACCAAGAATCGCTGCCCCCCTCAACGCCTCCCAAGATAGAGAGGTTTCTTCTCCCATGGTGAGGACAGGCCATTAGTAGAGTACCTGAGTCTGGATACGGTTCAAGCCTCGGAACCAGAGGATCTGGCCTCGGCGCAGCTCCATCTCTGCATGGTCAATCTCATCCAGTCCTTCGGCATCCTTGGTGATCTCCTCTTTGGTAGTCCCATGTCCAGCCTCTTTTAGGAACTTCAGAGATTTGGTAGGTATTGCAGAGATGATCTGAGGATGGGCACAGCACAAGGGAGACAGCAGAATCAGGGGGAGAAGAGCTGTCAGTCAACTTACCCAGGTCAGGCCCTTGGGTAGGTTACTCTGCTCTATCACCCTGCTCACCAGGAGAGCAGTGCAGGGAGCACCGATCTGTTCAGGCAAGCGTTCACCATGTGCCCACATGCTGTCAAGCTCTTAGGAAGGTTTTCTGTTTGTGGACATACAAAAGAAAACTTATATTCTTGGTAACCAGGTAACATATTCTATAACTTGCTTCGTCATAGACTTTTTCCTGTCTCAGTTCTTCCTTTTTATTTCACTATCTGTCTTTTAAGAAAAATAGAACTATAAGGCATGGAACATCATGGGAAGGGCAGAGACCTGGACCTGGGGGAAACAAATCAGGAGAGAAGATGGCATCACTGCATGTGTGTGCGGAGGAGTAGAGAAAGGAATTAGAAGGAAAGAGCCCCTCCCTTGTCACACATAAAAAGTAGCTCCATTGTTATGATAGTGAAAAGGTAGTTGGGATAAGGAAGTGGGTGGGATAGACCATGAAAGAAGGGACACATGGGTTGGGCACAATGGGCCATGCCTATATTTCCAGATACCCAGGCTGTTGAGGCAAGAGTATCACAAGTTCAAGGCCAGCTTCAGAAACTTAGCAGCACCCTGTCTCAAAATAAAAAATAAAAAGGTCTGGGGATGTAGCTGAGTGGTAGAGTGCCCCTGGATTCAATCCCCGATACTTGGGGGGTGGAGGAAAGAAAGAGGAAAGACAGAGAAACGTGAGTATTATCAGAAGGCATGAACATCAGTAGGTTAGACTTGCAATAAAAGATAAATCACTTAGTGAGCTCAATGCGTGTTAGTCAGTTCTTTACAGACCAGATGGAGGACAGACAGGGCTCAAATGGGACAGAGGGACTGGGCAGTCCAATGGGAGCCAAATTGCTTGAAATGGGAAGAAGGTTGAAGTTCTGCTTTTGGATGCTGGCAGAAGCTGCTATGATACTGAAGGAAGGCTGTTATCTGGCATCAAGGCCACATAGTCACATAAAGGCCAGACTTAAAGGAGTTCCAAATAGCTGGTAACACAACCAAGCTTCACTCAAGGGCAAAACTACTCTGGTAAATAGAGCAAGGTGGAGGGAGGTGGGTTAGGTATTAGGAGAGAGATTAGTCAGGAAGGCATCTAGGAGGTGTGAAAGAAACAAGCACCTGGCTCTTTATGGCCAGGTAGGGCACGACCTCTATTATCCAGGTGGCTGAGCACAAAGGGATTATCAGCAGAGTCTTGGGGTCTGTAGAGAAGTACATTCCAGGCCAGAGCTGAAGATGGTATTAGGGATGGAATAAAATTCTTATCAGTCTTGATGATATTATTATAATTAATATTAACATTCACTTAGTACTTGTAAAGGTATCAGACATTGTTCTAAATCTTTTCTGTAATTTGCTTAAGGTGATTAAGCTTGTGAAAAGGGGAGCCTGGGATTCAAACCCCGTCATTCCCAGTGTCCATGCTCTGAACCAAATGCTACACTGCTTCTCTAGAGATCTTAGAAATTTGAACATATGTCAGGCGAGAGTCAGGCATTCAATGCAGATAAAGCCATGGTGAGAAGAAGCTGGGGAGCCCTGAATTATGTCAGTACAGTGGCCATGAACAGACTGCTGCTTCATTACAATAGAGACATTTGTAAACTCTTCTGAGATCCTTCATTTTTTTTTTTAAGCAAAGTTCCACTCCTGTCCCAGAGAAGCTAGGGCTTTTTTGGCCTCGAGGCCTGGTTAGAGAAGAGACCTAGAAGCTCTCAGGTGATGGGCAGTGATCATTCCACCTTAGGATCCTATGAAATGGAATAAACTTAAGCAGGGAGGAGAAAACTAAGGCAAGAACAGGAGTCTCCACAGTTGCTTGTTCCACCTCGCGTAGAGGAGAGGAAGTCTGCAGACTGTGTGGATGCACAGGATTGTGTGCCTGTACTCACCTGGCCCCACAGAAGTTCTCCAATCCCGATGAAGAGACACCACAACCACTGGGACAGGCTAAGGCTTGTGCAACTGAAGGGCTTACCCCCAAATTCCACAATGAAAATCTAGAACAGAGAAAGAGGCAGCCCACTATCAGGGAGGTGACTAACAGGTGGACAGCCCTCTAGCCATGGTCACTGAAACCATGTCACCCCTCTGCCCAGGGTGAAAATCAGATCCTGATTTTCTTGCTGGAGAAGAGGAAAGAAGAAATCTAAAAAGGGAGAAAGGGAAACAGATATCAAGTCTTTACAGAGAGGTCTTCTGGAGAGACATAAACATCTCCTATGACTGCGATGATGAGGATCAATATAAGATCTGGTAGAGTGGGGACAGCTGGAGACCTCTTGTGACTATGGCCAGTAGGTGACAAAGAAAAGGCCCAGCAATGGAGAGGAGGAATTGAAGGTGGGGATTATACAGGAGGTACTGGGGTCTACAGAGGGAAGTAGAGTCCAGGCTAGAGCTGAGGTGGTTAGGAAGGGACGAGGCAGGGGGTTCTGGAGCACGGCCTGCTCATAGTCCCTTGTGTTCTCAGATGTTTGAGTGTACCTCTGGCTAGGCAAGAAAGAAGGGGCCTGGTCTTTATTCCACCAGGACAGCCATGCCTTGACTCCTGTTCCTGCAGTGGAGCCCAAGTCAGGCTTTTGATGTCAACTACATACATGCCAGTCACTGCTTCTCTTCCTCTGTAGATTGTGCAGAATTTTCACCATGAGCCCCTTCAAAACAAAGGGCAGGGACAGGGAGGGAGCCCGCGCTACACATGCATGCACCCGTGCTGGCAGGAGCATAGAAAGGGGCTAAAGGATAAACTCCATTGACTTGGTCACTTTGTGAAATTTCTGTATATTTAGAAAGGTCATGAAAGAATTCTACAAGTCTTGTTTTATCTCTAATCAACATGCTGCCCTGAAATGGAGCACCCGACACACTGGGCTCTGATTCTAGAACTAGGTGCAAATGGAAGCCAGTTGGGAACCCCATGTGTTCACCCACAGCCTCAGTCCCTGCTACCTCTTTTCCTGGATGCTTAAGGAATTCCGTCCTTCATCTTCCCAGACCTCCTACCCCAACTCCAGAGAGAATCTCACCTGGATGACAAATGTGCCCAAGACTACAGAGCAGAAGATGAGGTTGCGGTAAATGCCTGCAAAGACATTCCTCTCTCCGTGGATCTTTCGGGAATTGATTTCATTGAAGAGCTGCATCAGCACAAAGGTGTTGAAGATCATGGTATAGTGCTGGCTGGGTGGTGAATGTAGAGGTGCCTTCCTCCCACTGTCAATGTCAAAGAATTTCTCTCCTGGTGGGGAGAGAGCAAGAATGTGGGGAGAGCTGTGATCTCAGTGAGAGTTCACACTGAGTCAGAGCATGTTGGTGTGGCCACGCTGGTGGCTCGTGGCCACGCTGGTGGCTCATGGCCACCAGTTACGCCAAGTTACATTAGTTATCAATACTTTATTAATCAGATATCTTAGCCCTGGTCTCAGCATCTGACCGTATCTCTTGGTTTGCTCCATTGATATTTGCTTTCTTGTTCTACAGCATGGTAGAGAGACACTGCACTGGAGTTATGTAGCAGAAGTACCCAGGAGATAGTAGACCAAGCTATTATGCCTAGACTGTACTCCACCTGCTCCAGCACTATCATCTCTCCTCAGGCCTGTCTTAGCCCCCATGTCCACCTAGCACCCCAACCACTGCTCCCCGCCACCTGTGGCTCACCAGCAAAGACCAGGATAAAGATGACAGTGAGCTGGTAGACTGCATGGCCCAAGATGTTCTTCATCATAGTACGTGAGATCAGAGGCTTATTTCGGCCATAGGGGCGTCGCCTTAATAGAGCATCCGTAGGGGGCTCTGTTGCCAGGGCCAGTGAAGCAAAAGTGTCCATGATTAGATTAACCCACAACATCTGTACAGCTTTCAGTGGAGAATCCTGGTGGGAAAAGAACCAGTTTTCTTAGATTTCCTCAGAAACCAACCCTCGCTCGCTCACTCTTTCCCTTGAGATGACCTAGCTTCTGATATCCTTCTAGAATATGAATCTGGCCACCTATTAGCTTAGTGATCTTGAGAAAGTTATTTAACCTCTCTCTCTCTCTTTTTTTGCGGTGCTGGGGATTGAACCAAGGGCCTTGTGCATGAGAGGCAAGCACTCTACCAACTGAGCTACATCCCCAGCCCCAGTTACTTAACCTCTTTAAGCCTCCAGTTCTTCACCTGTAAAATGGGGTGAATACTGTTACAAGCTTGCTTTTGAAGAATAGAGATAATATGCATATCACAGTGGCTGACTCAAGGTGCTAAATAATGGAAGGTAGGTCATTATCGTTCCACATACATAGATGGAGACAGTGGACCTAGCCGATTCCTGTCCCGATATCAATTGTCCTTATTTTCTGTAGATACACTGTACCCACTGCCCCATGTTCCTCAGCCCCTGCTTCTATCCCATGCCTATCCCATGCCCCCCACCTGGGTGATACAGGCTCCAGTGAAGGCGACGATCACAGCCACCACGTTGACGGTGAGCTGGAACTGCAGGAACTTGGAGATGCTGTCATAGACGTTTCGTCCCCACATCACTGCCTTCACGATGCTGGAGAAGTTGTCATCTGTCAGGATGATGTCTGATGCCTCCTTTGCTACATCTGTGCCTGCGATACCCTGAGGCAAGATGGGAAAGCATCAGTGGAGAAGTGGGTAGAGCAGAGCTCACCTGCTTTTTGCACCCAGAATCTGCTTCCTGACCTTAAAGAAGCCTTAGAACTAGGAATGGACACCAGAGGGCACACTAGACACACACAAGAAAAGACAAAGATTCCCTGTCAATATCCAGAAGAGGGCTGATGTCTGATGCCACTACAGGACTCCTGTATGAAGGTTGGGGATGACAGTCATCTTTGATAAGCCTTCCTCCCCTCTGACTCTCCCTTCCTTGGAAGCTAATTAGAAGGAAGAGAACAAGTCCTATCTATCTGTTTTACCTCTAAGTTCTTAAACATCTCTTTTTTTTGGTACTGAGGATTGAACCCAGGGGCACTCAACCACTGAGCCACATCCCATCCCCTTTTAAAAAATATATTTAGAAACAGGGTCTTGCTAAGTTGCTGAGGCTGGCTTTGAACTTGTGATTCTCCTGCCTTAGCCTCCTGAGCTGGGGGATTACAGGCGTGTGCCACCGCTCCTGGCTTAGACTTCTTTTACCACTGCTAGTATCTGATTTAAATCTGAATTTCCCCCATACCTTTAAGAAAATTTACATTTTGTTCTAGAATGAGCAGCCTGACAGTACAGTTCAGATGTTCTGTTCTTGTTCAAAATCATCTTACTGGAGAACCATGAAAGGTTTCCTAATACACATGTCAGTGGTTGGAGGCCTGCTTCCCATGGAACAGTGAACCTCAACAGGCCAGCCCCTAATAAGTGCACCGACCTCATTTAATAACCTGCTTTTATGTAATCTTTCAGCTCAAAACCTATTGATTCATTCACAATCCCCTGAGTCTCTTATTCACTTCTTGGATCTAGACTTCTACTCTCACCATTTCTCTAAGCCTGAAACATCCTCTTTTTCCATCTATTTAAATTCTGTCATCAAGGTGCCATTCATTAAACCTTAACTGCCTTGAGACACAACCCCTAACACCCCAAGACCACAGAGGTATCACACATCTCGCCACTACCACAGCCTACAGAGGAGCTCATCCTTTACTTTGGTGTGTTAGCAGTACACCATTTGTTCTCATTACCTGGTATTATTATTTCCTATCTAGATGGCAACAAATGATAGACTAAATGACTCAGTTCTCCATCAGAGTTCCCTAGTATCCCCACATAGTAGAGTGTACTATAAGGATAGATCAGTACCAAGATTAATCCTTAGAATTATGGGATAATCTCCAACTTACATTATTAATTGCAAAAAGCAAGGTAGAAAAGAATATATAGTATGGTCACTTATCTGAGGGGATGAGATGTAAATACAATGTATGTTTGATTATATTCTGAAGAAACAAACAAGAATAAACTAAAAATCTAAGAAAAAAGTTACCTGACGAATTAAGAGGCAATTGACAGGGTAAAGGCAATGGGACAGAAGCCAGATTTATATAAATATACCTTGCTTCACATATTTTACTTTAGAACAGTGAAATTACTTTATACAAATCAAAAACAAAATTAAATTTAAAAAGTAATCTCTAGGGGCTGGGGTTGTGGCTCAGTGGTAAAGCACCTGTCTGGCATGTGTGAGGCACTGAGTTTGATCCTCACCACTACATACAAATAAATAAATAAAATAAAGGTATCGTGCAACTAAAAAAAAAGGTAATATCTAAAATGGAATGTGATATAAATGAACTGCTGCAGCCTATTGGCATCACAACTGCACAAAAGAAAAATGTTGCAAATGACTTTTAAATAATTTATTTTAAATTCCCAAATAAAAGCCATACTTTTTTATTAATTTGATAGTAGCCTCCTAGTAGGCCATACCTACAGATAAAAAGAACTACAAAAAATATATTTAACTTTTTAAAAAAATTAATTGTATTATTGTTAATATCATTGTTTTAAAACTATTATATATATTAAAATAATTATGTAATACCATTATGAATAAAAATGTATAGTTTCAGAGCTATAAATATTAAATCAGAGAAGTTAGATAAAATGAGAAAGTTAGGATTCTATAGTTCTAAATTTGGATGAGAAATATCAGTAAAAATTCACAAAGTGTTTTATTTTTAAAACAAACACAAACAAAAATGAGAAATAAAAGCCTATCTCTTAGTTTTGTCTACTGAGAAGACCTAGAAACAATGTACTCAGTAGAAAGAAGCACTCTTGAGTTCTGATTGCGTTCTCTAACTACCATTTCCTACTAAAGTGAGTCAGAACTCCTTAGAGAAATAGGTGATTCCAGATCTAGGATAAGAAATATACACAATGGTGGGGTACGGTGGCCACGCCTGTAATCCCAGAGACTCTGGAGGTCAAGGCAGGAAGATCACAAATTTGAGGCCAGCCTGGGCAACTTAGTGAAACCCTGTCTCAAAATATCAAAACAAAACAAAACAAAACAAACAAACAAACAAACAAACAAATAAAAAACAATTAAAAGGCCTGGGGATGTAGCTCTGTGGTAGAATTTGGTATGATAATTTTTTAGATATATTTTATTGATACTTATCATTTAGAGATATGTACTAAAATTTTTATGGATGAAATGAGGCACATCTTGGATTTACTTCAAAATAATTCAGCTGGAGGTGGGGAAAGTTGCTGGTCGCAGTAGTATGGGAGGTGTCAGTGAAACACTGGCTAAATGTCAGTAATTGTTGAAGTTACATGATAGGCACGTGGGGATTTACTATATGATTCTCCCTACTTTTGCATATTCTTAAAGTTTCCTTGAATTAAAAGTTTGTTTTTTAAAAGAAAGACCGCTACAGATATTTCTTGAGTTTCCATCCACTGCTTGGAAAGCACCAACAGAGCTGGGTGCAGGGGCACACACCTGTAGTCCCAGCTACTTGGGAGGTTGAAAGCCTGAGCAATTTAAACTCTGTCTCAACAAACAAACAAAAACCCCACCCGCCCATCCAACCAACCAACAAAAAAACCCTCTAACAGCTCAATTTATATGGGAGGTTCACAGCCATTAGCGACTTGAGTGTGAGCATGTATTTTGCTGTCTGGGGAATTAAAAAACTCTCTGAATATCAGAATCAGCAGGTGTGCTTGCTAAAAAACAGACAAACAAAAACCTCTAAAACAAAACACCAAACATTTCTAGTGCCCACCCAAGACCCTACTGAACCAAGATGTTCAACTTTGGAATGTGTCCAACTTGTATAGAACCCACAGCCGCATGTAGTGATAAGACAAGTACTGTATCCCTGAGCTACACCCTCAGCCCTAATTCTGATGCCCCTGGGCTTCAGAGTACCAAAAGCAGAGTACCAAACAATGCTTGCCACATTGTACACATTCCTTATGGAACGTGAGTTTGCTGTAATTTGCCTGGGTAGACAACATCATCGTGTTCATGGTCAAGTTTAAGTTGGTCTTGTTTTCCTTGATAAGGTACTTCATGATTTCCGTGCCTGTCATCTATTTTTTATACTTGATGGGTCCCCCATTACACATATTATTACTGGCCAGGTAGATAAGAGAGATGGATAGAGGAAAGAGCACACAGTGGCATGTGAAGGCACAGGAAGTAGGAGGCAACCAGAAGCCTGTCCTGGCTTCCTGATGGCGGAGGTGGCTTGCAAATGGGGAGACACTGCTGAACTTACCATGGCAAAACCAACATCTGCTTTCTTTAGAGCTGGTCCATCATTTGTGCCATCACCAGTGACAGCCACCACCTGCCGCTGATCCCCAACAGTGCTATCAATGATACCTGGGAAAAACACATATACTACAGTCAATACACGTGGGTCATCTGGGGTTATTTGACAAGCACTGTTCCCCATGAAAGGTGCTTTATGGGTCACCCTTCCCCTCCTATTCCCTTCTTTCCTTCCCTCTTCCCCATGCTAGAGGTCTACAGCAACCCCTGAAGGGCATAATTGTTTCACGGGGAGCACTCTGAGCTAGGAAAGTTAGTCCTCGTCTAGTGCCCTAAGGCAGTGGAAAAAAGCCCCCGATGGATCCGAATGCAGAGACCTGGGTGTCACACAACTGGTGCCTACCAGCAGGGCCAAGGGGCAAGTTACTTGTCTTTTCAGCATCCAACTTCCTTATTGACAAAATAAGAATAGCTTGCTGGGCACAGTGGTGCATACCTGTAATCCCAGCAGCTCAGGAGGCTGAGGTAGGAGGATCGCAAGTTCAAAGCCAGCCTCAGCAACTTAGTGAGGCACTAAGCAACTCAGTGAGACCCTGTCTCTAGTAAAATATAAAGAGGGGATGGGATGTGGCTCAGTGGTTAAGACCTCTGAGTGAAATCTCTAGTACCAAAACCAAAAAACCAAGAATGGCTTTATCTGCCATGACTAGCTCAGTACTACTGGCACACAAGACATGTAATGTTTCAAAAACCCAATTTTATTACATGTCATACCAGGGCTCAGAGGTTTGCTAAACAGAATGTTCTCTCCATCAACCCAAGTGTTCTCCTGGGAGTCCCTATTCAGAACAGGTGGGTTGCTTTGGCTGATGGCTCTTACCTGTCCTGGCCCCAGCCTGTCTTCATCTATCATGGGCACCCACTTAGGAGCCAACCTCACCTTTCACCAGCGTGTGCTTGTCAGTGGGGGAAGACCGCGCCAGCACCCGAAGCTTAGGCCAGATCTTGTCTAGCTTTTCTTGTTCTACCTGCCAACACCAGACACACCCAGATCAGTCACGCGCAGATCAGCCATGCAGGAAAAGCCTACTTTTTCACATAATCTGAGCTTCCAGGGGAGTTGGGATTCCATAGCCCCATCACCCTTATCCTGCCCCGTGTGAAGATGAAACCACCAACTCGGTCTCCAAGGGAGGATTCACTGGTGGTATCCACTCAGGCTCCGCTTGTCTTAGTTGCCTCCCATTTCCCACCTGGGAGCCAATCCTTATTTCTTAGACCCTTGACAGGAGGTGCAGGGTCAGCTGCTCAGTCAGGTGGCTCAAGGGGTACTTCCGAGGTCTTAGGTTTGATCTCTGGGTAGACCAGGAAGATTTGTTCTGCTCCACATTCAGACCACATTCTCTTACAAACCTATGTCACCAGTCACCACAGGGCAGTGATGTGGGAGGGGTGAGTAGGGGAAAATCAGTACAAAATCATCCCATGGCTGAAAAAAATGGAAAGAAATGAAAAGTCGGTGACACTGACTCCAAAGATAACTTGTGAATGAAGATAATGAGAAGACAGCTCCGCACACTACCATCTGAGCAGCTTTGGTGGAAAGAGCTGCTTGGCTGTAAATAGATTTCAGTCTAGAAACAGCCACTTCTCCCATGTGTCCCAGGTGCCTCATGATAACATCAGCCTTTTCCTTGACAAGGGAGGCCCTGGTTCCTCTCACCCAGGACTTACCTCGCCCTTCTCATTGCGAATGAGTCTGTTGAATTCTTTGCCTTCTAAACACAAGAAGTCCTCTCCAGGTGTCAGAATGCCACATTTGGTGGCGATGGCTCGGGCTGTGTTGATATTGTCACCCGTCACCATTCTGACAGTAATGCCAGCTCTTTTGCAGTTGGCAATAGCTTGCGGTACCTGTGGAAGGCAAAGAACAAGGAAAGGTGGATGCGGGAATGCAACATCTAGTAAACTGCTTATTCAGCTGTCCCTTCAACAGAGAAGCTGTGCCATGGGGCATGGGCTACATTTGGTTGGCCATTTTTGAATCACTTGGTCCCACCTCATTTCTGTCCAGCTCACAATAGTCATAAGCATATTTCATCAACTGTCTCATGAGTTCAAAGGGAAATTTTCTTCTGAAGCCAATGCTTGCTCTCCACCTACAATCCAGACTCCTTGATAGGACATGGACAGTGTTTGGAGATGTGGCCACTGCTTTCCTCCCTAGCTGACCACTCTCCACTGGCCTGGCTTTGGCTCCAGGCATATCAGTTCTTTGTCATCTTCCAAATGCAGGACACCCTTGCCAGGCTTGGCCTTGACAATCACCAGTCCATCTATCTGCACTTCTCTGAAGCAGAGATGTTTTCAATCCCCTTTTGTGTTAGAATAGCATTCAGCACCTAGGGACTGTTTGAAAAGAAGGTGCTGGTTGAAACAAGGCTGCTAAAGACAAATTTGGCGTCCCAGTTAATTCTGCCTCCTGACCATTCTCTTTCTCCCTCTTTATTTGGTACCAAGGATTGAACCCAGGGGCGCTTAACCACTGAGTCACATCCTCAGCCCTTTTTATATTTTATTTTGAGACAGGGTCTCACTAAGTTGCTGAGGCTGGCTTTGAACTTTAGATCCTCCTGCCTCAGCCTCCTGAGCCGCTGGGATTACAAGCATGTGCCACCACGCCAGGCCTGATTAAATAATAAGTACTAAATAATAAGGCCAATAAAACCTTTGCTTTTTTTACCACTTGAACAGCACTGAACAGATCATCTTGCGCAAGTGAGCACCTTTCGGCCCTCTTCCCTTTAAGACCCTCCCCCAGGAAGGTCTGGGCAACAAGCCAGACCACTTTCTGCTGATTTGTACACTATTGCAGTTGTGGGAAGTAGCAGGCACAGGAACATCTAGGTCTAAAAGTGAGAAGCAGTTAGGCAACTTGCCTGAGGTCATAACTAGACAAAGAATTAGTATCTACTTTCTGTGACTTTCTGTGTCTTCTTATTAGGACACACTGGGCCTGTACTTGGGCCCAGAAGCCATTAGGAGACTGTCAGTTATGTTTTCTTGCTCTTTCTCCAACACAAAGTCTTACCTCCGGGCGCACAGGGTCCTCAATGCCCAACACTGCGATACAGGTCAGCTCAGTGACAATTTCATTCTCATTGTCCCATGAGGGCTCTTCACCATCAAAATCCCGGTAAGCTATGCAGATAGTCCGGAGTCCCCCAGAGGCCATAGGCTCAATGACATTGCGTATCATATCATCTCGGTCCTTATTCTTGAATGGCATTGCTTCCCCTTTCTTGTCCAGGATTCGATTACACCTAGGGAAGCACATGGTCAGAAAGCAGCCTCTCCCTTCCCACCGGGTCTGCTTCTATAATCATTTGCAGACATTCTGGGAACTCTGCATTATTCTAAATACATCATTCCTCAGTCCAGTATCTCCTTTATCTCTATCTGGGTAGCTGACTCCCTCTTTCCAAGGTGGGGTGGCCTGTGGATTGAGTAAGGCATGGGTGAGTGGGAGTGTGATTTTTCCATGCCATTCATTCTTACCCAAGGCTTAGTGACTTGTGGATCACCTGCTCCTTTGAACTTCTTAAAAGCAGAGAAACTTTCTCAATCTAGAATAATGCATGGGGTTGGTGCTAAAGAAGAATGCATTGATTAAAAGAAGGTGGCTAAAGCCAAGTTGAAGTACTAGTTATTTCAGCCCTGTTGGCCCTCGACCCAAACTGGGTCAACTTTTACCTATGGGGAGCCTAGCCACTTTTTAATTATGCAACCTCCCTGTAATTAGAATTAAGGATGGAAAAGAAAACAGAACCAACATTGCTAGTATTTGCTTTATGTACATTGAAACATTCAACCACAGAAAGATGGGTGGCACTCTGAGGATGACCATTTTCAGATCAGGAAATGGAAGTTCAGGTGGTCCAGGTCTGAATCCTGGCTGTACCACTATCAGTGGTATCTCCTCGAGCAAGTTGTGTAACTTCCCTGAACTTCTGTGTCCTCATCTGTAAATTAGGGGTGATGTTTGTACCCGCCTCACTGAGTTGTGATTAAATAAAAGGAGTCACCTGAAGTATTTAAAAACAATGCTTGGCCTGAGGAAAAAGCTCAGATGTCAGTTAGATATTGCCTGTTGACTGGGGGCTCGCTTACTCAGATGTGTTCAGTGTGGGGCATGTTGCCCAGACCTTCCTGGGGGGAGGGTCTTGAAGGGAAGAGGGCTGAAGGGTGCTCACTTGCGCAAGATGATCTCTGAAGCGCCCTTGCTGAACATGCGGAAGCCACCTCCTGGCTTCCTGATGACGGTGCTCATGGACTTGCGCACCGAGTTGAAGGTGTACACCTTGTAGAGCTTCTCCTCGGGCAGCTCACTGCGCACTGCCTGGTAATCCTGCTTCAGATCAGTGACAAAGCCCAGCAGAGCACATTCGGTCTTGTTGCCCACCTGCCGTGCCAGGCCTCCCTCCTTCTCTGGAGGCTGAGGACAAAAAAAAAAAAAAAAAAAAAAGACATGGGGCTGGTGAATAAGATACTTTGACCAGAGAGGGAACTTAGAAAGGTATGAACTCCCTTACAAAAATTTCAGATATCTTCAGAGCCTGTGGCAGAGGCAGACTTTTTTTTTTTTTTGCAAGGGTCAGCAGACAGTGGTCAGTAGTGACCTTGATCCCAGAACCATCAAGGTTTTCAGGAATATGACAGTTTGCTCCAGCGGCAGTGCCTATATGGGTCTTATTCTAATACCGTCTTTTGGTTTCTGGAAAGTGGGTAATTCACTCCTGATACGCCCTAGTCTGCTGTGAGTAGGGGTTTCCTCCTTAGAGACACTGCTGTTACGTGGCAAGTGAAGAGCATTTAGTGGCCATACATCCCCACAGGTCCTTACACCCAACCCTCCATCTCCTTCTGTGGATTATTCTCTAGACTCACCCCAAACATGTCTAATCAGGAGTGAAAAATGGGATGAAGGATGGTAATTCAGGTAAAATAAATAAGAGGGGATTTGTCCCTGGGAAAATTAATGTTCCCTCTAACCACCCATTCTAAATGCCCAGGCAAATGGAGAGCTCACCAGAATCTTGGAGGTATAAGCAGAGTTGATAGAAATGCCATTGACAATGAGGTCCAGGACCCTGGGCAGGAAGATGTCAGGGCTTGGGATCTGATGGTAATGAGTGCCTCCAATATAGGCTTGCACCACTGTCATGCGGTTCATGGTCAACGTGCCTGTCTTATCAGAGCAAATGGCTGTGGCGTTGCCCATTGTCTCACAGGCATCCAAGTGCCGTACCAGGTTATTATCTTTCATCATTTTCTACAAAGAAAAAGAGAAAAGGCTTGCGAGGAGCTACTGGGTCAAATTTCATGGCCTAGCTAACATCTCTCCACATTTCACTTTCTAGTTCTACTGATTTATTTAAATGCTATCGTAACTCACTGATGTGGCTCTCCCACAGTGCTAAGTACTGCGTTTGTGAGGCCACCCAAAGTTTGAAGAGGATAGAATGCGCTTTCTAAGCTTTCATCAAAGGTACATGGTATCCTCCCCTCCCATGTCTGTCCCCAAAGAAGACACAGTATTGTTTCAGTCTCACCTTCACAGAGTAGGCCAGTGAGATGGTGACAGCTAGTGGCAGCCCCTCTGGCACAGCTACCACCAGTACAGTGATACCGATGATGAAGAATTTGACAAAGTACTGGATGTAGATAGGGGTACACTCAGGTAGCCATGGTCTTCGATGTATCACAAAGTTGTCAATCACAAAATACAGAATCAGGATGATGACCGTGAGAGCAGACATGAACAGGCCTGTCCGGGGAAACGAGTGCATGAACACAGGCTTGGAGACATTGTAATGGATTAGCATGAGCTGTAGCCTTTCTACTAACTTTTAAAACCACAGTCTTCAGGAAGTCATATTAAAATCTTCTCCTTACTCTCTGTTGCTTGCACACTGTGGTGAGAGGGAAAGACAGTGGTTCCAAAGATACATGCTTTCTTCTCAGCATGTCACTAACTTGACTCATGGCTTTAGACTAGTCGTTGACCTCTCGGGACCTATGTTTTGGCTCAAACTCCTCATTCACAAATAAGGGGGTTGGTCTGCTTTCCAAAACAGCATTCTATGACTCTATCCCTCAATTCATAATGTAGTGACTGTGTTTGTTCATTCATTAGCAGTTTATGGATTTTGACTTCTCACCTACTAGCCATGAATATCAGAAAATTCACAACTCCATCAGAGATGCTAGCACATCACTTATGTGGCTAACCCTAGGAAATGGTCCTCTCAACCCTTCTTCTATCACAGCATACACAGAAGATGATAATAATAGCCAAAATTTACTAGCCCCTACTGTTGGCCAGGCAAGCCCTTTACAACCACCTTACAATAACCCCACGAGACAGGTTACAATTATCGCTCTTTTTTAAGATGGGAAAAGTAAGACACCGAGAGGTTTCTGGAATGGCATACTGGAAGGGTGACCCAATCATCCTGGTTTTCGGTGCTAAAATCAAGAAAGACCCAAGCCACCTAGGACACCTTAGGTCACCTTACTTCATTCACCTTGAGGTAAATGGAAGAATCTATTCAAGGGTTAAAAAAAAATCACCCCACCCCCCAAAAAAGAACCCACTGGCTACCCTGAGGGCTGAAAGGATCAATATCTGGGCATGTCTGTACCTGCTTGTTGCAGTGTTTAGCACTAAAGCTCTGTTTGAAACCATGCTCTGGTTTTGGCCTTAGCTTTGCCTGAGGGACCTCAGGGTGAGCCTAGAGGATGAAGATAGCAACGGAAGCACATTCATTTGTACTTCACTTGATTAGGGCATGCCTAGGGAGAGGAAGCAAGGCACTTGTAGTAGGAAATTAGAAAGATACTCACCTATGGTATAAAATTACCTCTCTTGCCCACCCCAGTTTTGGCCCGGCTCAATATGTGAAATACAAAAACAGAGGAAACTAGTGGCCAATTTTCAGGTAGTTCATATCCCCAAAGAAGAACAACAGGGTTAGGCAATGTCTGTTCAGTGTTTCAAACCCATGTATCAGGCTCAATAACTTGCTTCTGCATCTTCAATTCATCTCATCCATGTAGAGTTTATATGCAAGAGATTTCAAGGTAATTAAAATTAGCTGAATGAATAGGCTGGGCCAACTCATTCCCATAGAGTACTTAAAAATATTTCAGAAGTGCTTAAAAATGTCCTCAATTTGTGCTGTCTGATAAGGTAAACACTGGCCACCCGGGGCTATTGATCATTTAAAATGTGGCTAATGTGATGGAGGAACTGAATTTCTCACTCTATTTTATTTTAATTAATTTAAATGGAAAGAGCCACACATGATTAGTGGCTGCAGTAGTGGGCGGCAGAGATCTTTGCTACCCAATGCAAGCTTCATGGATTAGCAGTACTATTCTGCTGGGGGACTTGTTAGAAATGCACAATTTCAGGCTGCACTGCAGACCTGCTGAACCAAATCTACACTTCAATAAGAACCCTTGGTGAACCATATACACACAGATGTGTTGATTAGGATGGCGGCAAACAGAAGGGTGGGCTCAGAGATTACACAGTGGGATAGATTACACCTTGGGGGACATTCCATTTGGGAGCGGATCTTCCTTTTGCTCCCTCTTCCCACTCTTCCCCTACCTCTGAAAGAAGGTGGTAGAGTGTGCCCAGGTAGTGATGGAGAAGACACAGGCGTGCAGGTGGCCCAGGAGCACACTTGGTGGTCCTGCTCTGGAGAGAGAGCCTCTCTAACCAGTGTCTTCTTTGCCCCTCCAGTCTTTACTTTTTATTCACTGCTCTGTGCTGGGCCACGTGCTATCAATATGTATTGGAACTGCCTCTAGCAAACGGCAGCCTCCTCTATCCTGAAGGAATTTATAAACCAAAACCAGAGACAGGCCAGTTATTGGAGCCTTCTTCCTGGCTAAAGTCAATGTCCCTGTTGTGGTAATGTGCTCTGCACTTCCCATTTGTTTGGATGAAAGAGACCTTAGGGCTGTTAACCCTGACACACAGGAAAACATTTCTCTCTGAAAAAGCCTAGGCAGTGGCCAAACTGTGGCAAAGATAGGGATACAACCTGCTGGACTCCATTAGCCACTCTGAAGTTTCAGCTTCCTTCTGCCAGTCCTGGTTGGGATTCAGGCAGTGAGCTAGCAGAGTGGCTGGAGGGGCACTGGTAAGCTGCGAGAGGCAGGCTCCACCAGACTCACCGGCTTTCCCGATGTGCACAGCCAAGCGCGTCAGCTTGCCCTGCAGCACCGACTTCTCCTTCTTGGGCACCTTGACTACCTTCTTCTCCTTCTCCTCATTGTCGGCCCCATCCTGGCTGTTGAGTGGCTGGATTTCCAAGGCCACTCCATCTTGGGTCTTTGCTAGGGTGCACACACAAAGAGTCAAGTGAGCGGGCAAGGTGACAGCACGGAGTGGCAGACAGGTAGAAACGAGAACCCTTCAGTTTTCTTCCAGGAATCTACCTTGGGTCCCTGACGTCAATTCTGACCACTCTCACCCCATGCCAGACATGGAATTTGCTTCAGTGCTCTATTAGGGCCTTTACAATGGTAGTTTAACAACTGGAAATGAAACAGAGGGTGCTTTTAGGGCCTGGATTTCCTCTTCAGTGGCAGCTTCCTGGCATCACCTCAGATCCTCAGGCCAGGTTTATTCCAGCAAGGGGATTAATCACGCCACTAAACGCTATTACCAATAACCATCCTTCCTGGAATGCTGTTCTTAAAATCACTGTTTACTGTAGAAAGGGGCTGAAGGGAAAGGCTAGAGCATGAAGTTCTAACTCGCTGTTAAAAGGTTCATTTCTCTCTTTCTCTCTCTTTGTATGTGTGTGTGTGAGTGTGTGTGTGTGTGTGTGTGTGTGTGTGTGTATCCCCCCAGCCCCGGGAAGAAACACAGACTCAAGACCCAAGGTATTTCCCAGCTCCTTCTTAAATAAGTTGAAGGACAGGAAGAAAATCCCCCTTCTCCCATGCCTGAAAAGGTAGGGAGTGGGAGATGCAGAGTAGAACCTGGGGTTAAGTCTTTTGGGGGAAAGGGAAGAAGCTGGTATAATGGGACCCCCTGGAATAAGAGGAAGCAGGGATAAAGACAGACATACAAATCTGTTGTGCTTTTAAAAGAAGAGCAGAGACCTAAAATTAAAGAACTAGTTTTGCTCAGCCTTGGTTCTCCATGTCGACTTACTTTATAAAGACTACTATGATAATGTTTACAAAGGAAAAATATTCTCTAGGAGCTGTCTCAAGAAAGCAGTTCTTGCTGGCTCCTAGTATCCGTCCAGCTTCAGCCCCGCAGAGCTCAGTCTTTGACTTTGGAGGCCTTTCCTGAGATAGTCTCTGCTGTCAGACTCACAAATAAGACAGAGACAAGAGATGTAAACACAGCCACCAAGAGAAACGCACACCAGACCAGGAGGAACAAAACAGACTGTGGAGAGAACAAGAAAGAGGTGGGGAAAGAGGCTGAGAGAAAGGGCTCTCTCCAAGGACCTCTGAGAAGACCAGCAGAGGAGGAATTCAGACCAGAAGAGGACATCGATGACAAAGCCAGAAGAGGAGGGTGCAGGGACTTCCCACCTCAACGCCCCCCACCATTTGAAACCCCAGACCCGGGAACTGACGGCATTTAAATCTGGCTGGCCAGGGCAATGAAGCAGAGTTCAACACCCTGGGAAGAGCAGCTCAATCCCACAACCAAGAGAAACCATGACATGAGGTTCCGCGAGCTAACAGCAGAGGGTGCTGCTGTCCCGTCTCAGACTGGGACTGGGGCCTTGGGCCCACCCCATCTCTGCACCTTCCTCAACATCTGGGCCAGAGCAGCAGGTAACAGATGATGAAGAGGAGAGGGGAGAAGGCAGATGGCCTGGAAAAGTCTGATTTGAGCGAGGACAGGTAGAGATGGTAAATGAATGGGTAGAGAGGTTACCTTTGTTGCGATTTTCAGGGACTCCTTGTTTTTTACCTGTTTAAACAAGAAAGAAAAAAGTGGGGTGGAGACCCAAAGTGACTATTAAGAGATCAGATATCCAATTTGTCTGTCCTGCTCTGAGCCCAGAAGGGCCACATGAAGGAGCGGGTTGCAGGGAAAGCAAATAAATGTAAAGGGAGCTCTCGTCTCTGCTCTCATTCCTCCCAGAGGTCTACTGAATCCTTGGGATGTGAGCAGAGCACTCATGCAGGTGACACATGTTCACACCTGAGCCGCTCTCTCTTGGAGCATGGCTGCCACTAAGAGGGAGGGTGCTCTGGCTGGAGTCAGATCTCTTGGAAAAATGGGGTGAGGGTTAGGGAGTAAGAGGTGGGAACTGTTTCTGCCCAATGGCAAAGGCCCTGTAAGGTGTCTTCATGTCAGTTCACGCTTTCTCTTTATTCACCTGCAGACGGCTGAGGAAATGAGTAGTCTTGTGCCCAGAGAATGTGTTGCTTCCTGCTCATAAACTGCCCTCTACTAAATAGCCCAAGATAATCCTCCTGTCAAGTAGCAGAAATCCTTCTCTTCCCAAAGGGATGAAGGAATGCTCAGGGAAAGGTCTAGATTTTGTTTTAGTATCTTTTCCTCTTTCGCCTATTATCCCTGATTAGGAGGAGCAAGTAAGGGAATGGCAAAGACCGGGCTGGCGTCACCTCTGTCCCACTCTTCTAGCTGTGTCTCTTCCACCAAGAGCCTGTAGTTTCAGCAGGAATCAATTTTATTCTTCAGGTCAGTTTCCTCTTAGCAGCTTCCCCTTCTTTGAGGAAGAAAGTAGGGGAGGAGGAGTACATGGAGTACAGGTTGTTTCACCTGCTGGCTCATTTTGGGCAGGTTTAATTCAACCCTTTACAACCTTCCAAAGACACAGGAATTGAGGCCTCAAAGCAGCCTGATTTGGGAGGCTCGAGCAGGGTCTGGTTTTCATCAGAGCTCCCCAAGAGCCACGGTTCACATTTACATCTTGGCATGGAGTTTGGATATCTGCCCTCTTCATTCCATCAGGTTCTCCCAACCAGGCTTTCCATCCAGATCTGAGCCCTTGCTTCTAGCTCACCCATGGGGATAAGAAGAAAGAGAATCTCCCTGTAAATGCCCAAGTGCCCCTCACCTTTCTTCTTTTTCACCTCCTCTTCATCTTCATGTACCCCTAAGAGGGTAAAAATGATTCCTGTCTGGGAGTTGATCCCCACAGCAGTCACCACCATCCTGCCAGAACCTTCCATCACATGGGTCCCTATATGGGAAAGGAGAAGATGGGAAGGAGTATTGCTTTTTATTCCTAGCCATGAATTGGTGTGAAACAGAAACTTTAAAAAATAAGTACTTCCCTACCCCCACGGATAAGGATACACTTAGCAGACAGTAAGAAAAAGCGAAGAGCTAGGCACATTTAGAACAGACCAAGTGAAGTAAGGGTAAGAAGGAAGGTGTATCTGTTTTAGAGTTAGCCCTCTCTTCATCCCCCTCCCAATTACCAGCACCCCTCCAAGATCACTTCAGCATCTGTTTCACAGAAAGTCTCTTTCAGCTTGCCTGACATCCTTGTATACAACCCACCAGTATGTTACTGCCCCAGCTGAACCCAAGGGAAGGAGATGGGACAGAGCTGGAAGAGAGAGCAGGACCTGGAACTCATCGCCTGGCTCTCCTGGGGAGGCAGAATGGAAACTTGGGCAGCTGGAGACTATACCTGCCAGCAACATGGGGTCTTTTTCCAGTGACTTCCTGACATGGTCTGATTCCCCTGTCAGAGAGCTCTCATCAATCTTCAGATCATTTCCCTGGATCAGGATTCCGTCTGCAGGCAGCAGATCACCTGGTGCATAAAGGGGAAAGGGACAGTGAAGGAGAGCAGGTAAGATCCTGGAAGAGCGTGGGGACCTCTCACTCCGCCATTCTATCTCAGGGCTGCTCCCATGGGCCCCATTTATAGGGCAATGGCCCAGGTAGGACCTGGAGAGCCTCTAAAAGACAACTCGAGAACTGGGGGTGACTCAGAGGAAGAGCCTGTGCTGAGCACACACAAGGTCCTGGGTTCCATCCCCAGCACCACAAAAAATAAAAAGAAAGATAACTTCAGCTCTGTAGAGCTCTGGACAAGATTCCTTTTCCCTTCCAGGTATTATAATTCAAACAATATACTTTTGATCTTCAGGCACATAGGGTACAAATCTGACAGTCTCTTGGGAGAATATTTTCCATTGCTTTCTTTGAAATTCCTTTCCACGATTTCCTTAAATTCTAATTTAGACATTAACATAATATGGGAGCTTATCTTTTAGGGTTTTTACCAATTCCCAGCCCCCTTTTGCCAAAGGACCTACACCTCAAACATTGGGGTTACCCAGGTCTAGAAAACATGGAGCTCTCACCGTATTTGATTTGGGCGATGTCACCCACCACAATCTCGGCCACAGGGAGCTGAATGAGCTGACCATTTCGAATAATGGAGAATTTTTGCTCCTGTTCAATGCGGCTCTGCAGTCCCCGGAACTGTTTCTCCTTGCTCCAATCATTAAAAGCTGTCACTAACACCACGATGATCACTGAGAACAGAATGGCTGCCCCCTCGATCCAGCCAGCTTCTGCCTCCCCTTCGTCATCTGGGTTACTTACGGATTCGCCACACACTAGCCAGGGAAGGGAGAGAAATAGTTACTGAGACCTTTTGTTGAAATGAGGGTAACACTACCAAGGCTCCACAGAATGAACAGTGAGGAAAAGAGAAAATAGAAAATAAACCCACTGGGGCTGGGGATGTGGCAGAGCACTTGCCAAGCATACCCAAGGCCCTGGGTTCAATCCCTAGCACCACCAATAAACAGACAAACAAATAAATAAAATAAAACCCAGGCAGAAGAGCTATCTTCTGAGGAAATCAGAAGTTAGCAGGATTGAGTGTTGTCTCACCACCACCATATCTATTTGTGTTAATGCAAAAGAAGCAAATGACCAACAAAATATGTCAACAAATCACATGTCAAGAACTTAAGATTCCCAGTGGGGCTAGGCTCTTCCTGCTAGTTCCCCTGATGCCAGAAAAGAGGTGGGCACACTTGGAGAAGCAGGGCTTTGTTGGGTTGGGTAAGGGCATTGGAACCATGGCATTCTGAATAAGGATTTGAAGGGACGGGAGAAGGCGGGAAACCCTGGAGTCAGAATGGGTTCAAGGAGTAGCTTACTAGCTGCCAGTTGGTTTCCTGTGGAGAGCCCACTGGATGGTGGGGGTGTGGGGGCTGATGCTGGACCTTGTCAGTCACTACTAAGCATGGTTTGGTGGTAGTGGAAAGAACCCAGATTCTAGTCATGCTGAGCTGTTTAGACACTCACGTTCATTTTGTTCACCAGGGGGGCGATAAAAGGACAGGACCAGGGAGATAATGGCTGCAATCTCCAGGATGATGAGTGTGACATCTTGAAGGGCTTCCCATACTAATTCTAAGAAGGTCTTGGGCTTTTTTGGGGGGATTAAATTCTGTCCAAACACGATTCTACGTTTCTCCAGATCTGCAGGGTTCCCGGAGAGACCTGAAAAGGAGACAGGGGTGGATCAAGAATGAGAACAAAAGAATGGAAACAAGGCTGTTTAAAGCCTTTTTCTTTCTTTTCTTTTCTTTTTTTTTTTTTGGACTAGAGATTGAACCCAGGGGCACTTAACCACTGAGTAACAGTCCTTTTTTGTATATTTAGAGACAGGGTCTCACTGAGTTACTTAAGGCCTTGCTAAGTTGCTGAGGCTGGCTTTGAACTTGTGATCCTTCTGCCTCAGCCTCCCAAGCGGCTGGGATGACAAGCGTGTGCCACCACACCTGGCTAAAAGCCCTCTTTTAAAAAAAGGGCCCCTTGCTTCCCGATCCACCCAAACATAAGACCCAGCTAGGGTGACCAACCATCCCAATTTGCTCAGGACTTGGCAGGTGTGGAGCTTTTAGTTTAAAAATGGGCAAAGTATGACAAGTTGGCCGCAGGACAGGGCCTGCTGGCTTCTCTTAGTAACCAGGGTAAGCTAACCTAGATGCAGAACTTCACCTCCTCTTCATGGAGCATGCTGCAGGCTCCAGCTCTTAGAATATGAACATTAACATGTTCCTTGTGATACCCACAGAACTTTCTCTCATATTGACATGGGAATGCCGGTGACAACTTGCATAGCATCAGCTTCCACCCATTGGCTCACAATAAAGGCCAACGAGAACTAGTTACCTGCTTAAGGTCACCTCAAGATAGAGACAGAGCCCACCCATGTGTCCTGATTCCAAGTTCCAGGGACCGCAGATCATCAGAGCAGAGGTTTTGACTGTAACTTACGGTCATACCCTTTAAGCACACATGCCCCTGCTTTTCTGTGTCTCTGTCTCTCTTACACACACCACTAAAAGGTACTACTATTTTACCAAGAGCTAAGTACTTATAGGTACTAATAGAAGTACTACTGATATTCAGGTTGAATAGAAAGAAACCAAGAAAGGCAAGGCCACAAAGTTTTCATATACTACAGGATTCCCAGCATCCTCCCTACCAACGCACATGTATGCTGACCTACTTGCATGCGCACACACCACATACAACAGATACAAACATACTGCAGACACACAATACACATAACCACGTGACAATGCAAATACCACACACATACTCTAGGCACACATTCTAGGGAAAAGAGATAGGCAGTTATTTTAAGTGCCTTCTTGAGAATTTAGGCCCCTCTCCTGGACCCCAGAAAGGTTACTCTTTAAGACAGAGGTGGAATCCCGATGTGGTGGTTAATGCAGTTGGCATTCATAGAGTTGTTTACACACTGCAGCAGATTAGTCCTGGCTCTGGCACTGGAAGTTGTTGGCTGCAGGTTTGATGGGATCCCCACAGACAGGGTGGGGCAACCTTTGTCTTGAAAAAATGGTTAACAGCTGTGGGGACCCAGGGGAAGGAGAAACTTTGTTGGAAGGAGCTGCAAGAACAAAATGGAGGCAGCAATGCCAGATGATGTCTTTATACTCGGTCAACATGAAAGGCTCTTCTACTGGAAATGATTGTAAAAATGGGGACTCAGGTACACAAGGGAGCATTGCTTGCAGGGTCTGAGATGCCTCCACTTCCCATCCAGAACAAAACCACCAGCAGTTGCTCTTAAGATACTCATGTGTCCGGGCTGGGGAGCAGGGGCCTGCTGGCGATGAAGTGGGGGTGGGGGTCCAGCTGTGGTCCATTCTTGTGTAGTCAGCACTGAGGGCGTGGAAGCCACTTGCCCTTGCTAGTATTAGGAGAGAGAACGGGTTTCTGGCTAGGAACCTGGTGTCCCAAGCTGTGATCCAGGGCTCCTGCGGCATAGTGCCCAAGTACCTCACCTGGCCTCAAGCTGAGGGGCAAGTTGAGCTGCTTGCCAGATGCTCATGCCTCTTCCACCCTGAGAAATCAGGTTCCTGGTAGGAAAGGAAAGCAAGGGACCGCAGAAGGTGTGTTCTAGTAGACCATCTGGGTGCCCAGGCAGGCAGGGCAGAGTGGCCAGTGGGCAGCGCCTCAGTGGTTCTTTCTCCCAGGAACCAGAGATAGCAGGGTTGTGTCAACTTGGGATTACTGGGCTGGAGGGCCAAATAAGTTCTGATAATTTTTTAATCTACCTGGGATATTCCTCAAAGAAGTAGTATTCAAATGCAGAAGGAGGAGATGACTTCCCTCCTTCAACAAGGGTTTGTAGACCATTATGAGGGTAAAGCAGGACAGCAGATGTTAAATATCATAAGGGGCATTCCAATAGCACCGGTCTGCGTGTGTAGGGGCAGGGCTCTTGCCCTCTCAGCTCTCACATTAATACCTTACGGTCATCCTTGACTCCCACCCTGTCCCTCTCTCATCTTCTATATCCTTTTAATTAGGAAATCCTACCAGCTCTGCCTTCAAGTTACATCCAAAGCCCAATCCCTTCCCATTTTCAACTGCCACCATGCTGGTCTCCTGCCAGCATCTCTTGCCTGAGGTACTGCAGGTGTCTTCTGTGTCTCCCGGCTCCACCCTGCTCTCCTGTTCTCTACACAGTGGCCAGAAGATCTTTTTTAAGACCCAAGGCAGTACATGCCATTTATCTGCTCAGAATCCTCTGGCTTTTGCTTGGAGTGAAACTGAGCATAAAAACCTTATTATGATGGCCTCTAATGTCCCTTATTAGCCACCACACTCTTTCCCTGCTCTTCCATGTTCACCAAATTCGAGCCCAGCCCAGCCAGCTTTCCTTCTGTTCTCTGAGTGTCTCAGACAGGCTTGGACTTCAGACTTCTGCACCAGCTTTGCCCTCTTCCTGGGGTAGGGCTCACTTCTTCACCTCCTGCAAGTCCCTGTACTGCTATTGCGTCAGGAGACACTGACCTAGCTGACTGCATTTAGAATGGCAACTTCTCTGCCGCAGCACTCCCAACCCCCCCTTACCCTGCTAAATTTTTTCCATCCCAGTCTTCTCACCTATTGTGGATATGATTAATTCACTGAGTGTTTACCTGTCCCCCTGTACAAGGGTAGGATTTTTGCTTTTGATCTTCTGGCCCATAGCCTGCCTGGCACAATGTACACATACAAATTTGTCAGATGAACTGAATGAATGAGTAATGAATAAGATTGCTAACATTTAAATGACTACTATATTCTGGAAGCTTCACTAGGCACATCTGTGTCTTTCCATGAAAACATCACAATCCCAAGAGGCAGCTACTATGAACCCATTTTATATATAAATAAACCAAGGCCTAGAGAGGTTATGGGACTCCTTGAATTATTAAGTGGCACTCTATACCCCCATAGGAGGTAGCTGGATGTTAACCTGTATCCAGAGGGGTAAGATGTCACCAACTAGCCCCACTTTGTTGGGGCTTGCCAGGTTTTAGCACTGAAGTTTCTGCCTCCTGGGAATGCTCTTTGGTCCCAGCGAACAGGCCACCCTACTTCCTACACTGGGGGGAGCAGGCTGACGCGCTGCTTTCTTCTCCACCTCTGAGCAAGCTGGCGTGGCTCCCATGGTCTACAGTTGGGATAGTTAGTCCTCCATTTCCTGTCATCAGGGTGATGATATCCGGCCCATCCGAGTCTAACCTATAAACTCTGTGCTCAAAGAAGGCTCCTTAGGGCCTTTTTTTGGATCCAGGAAATGAAGAAGGACAATGGAAGCCATACAAGGTCAGGCCTGCTCTTCCCTGGACACCCTCAAAATCACATACTTGCTTCTTTTTTGCCACTTTCCACTCATTTCTCTGTTCCACTTGGAAGTCACCAAGATCTCGTATAATAGCTACTTTAAGAAGTCAAGTGGCTGTCCTAGTTCCCAGCATGCTCTGCAGCGGGGCAGGGCAGGGCAGCTTGGGGCTGTAAGCAGTCATAGCCTTGGGAATCCTCTCTGACATGTGGCGCTGCTCGGGGAAAGCCATGTGGGGCCGGGAGCTCAGCCAATCCCCAATTTTGGGCTTTCCATTCCAATTCTTTCAGCCCAGAGAGGCTTTCAGGCCCTGATCTCAGCAGTTTAATTTTGCACAAAGACTTGTCCAGCCCAGAAAAAATGTTTTGGGCCCTGATCTCTGCAGTGGCTTCTCAAGTATTCACACAGCCTCCTGGAAAGGGGAAGGAAGACTTGGCAGGGAGTGGATGCTGGAAACACAGGAAAGGGTTTCCCCAAGAAATTCATCAGGAAAATGAGAGGAAACTTTGTTCTTAAGCACGTAAGAGAGAAAGCCCCACCCAACTGGGGAGTGCCTTTGGCTCCGAGAACCAGACTGTGCACATGAGTTGGGAGAGGCAAAGAGAATGTTAGGCCGTGAAGTCATCACCCCCACCCCAGGCTGGGAGTTGCTAGGCCCCTGCCCAAGCTGGGCGGGATGAGCCAGCAGCAGGGGAACGTTTGCATCTGCTGTGAGTCTGTGCAGGGCCCAGGGTCAGGGAAGATACTGGGAGCCCAGCCCAGGGAAGGGTTCGGGTGAGCTTCCCTTAGACACCAAGGACGTTGGAGGCAGAGTACCCTTTATCAGAACCGGCTCAGCCCCAGAAAGGGTGGGGCTAGGTCAGACATCATAAGGGACTTCCCAGCTGTCAGAATTATGATACCTTGCCAAAGGAGGCAGCAGAAGCCTCTCCCACACAGATAGTACAAAGATGTGGTTCAGGCAGTGCTCTTTTAGTACAGATATCAGCATACCTTTCAAGGGCTGGGGAGGTAGCTCATTAGTAGGCAGCTTGCCTGGTATGTGTGAGGCTCTGGGTTTCATCCCCAGCATGAGTGAGAGGGGAACCTTTCAAGTCCTACCTTAAAACCCTGGACTAAGGGGAAGGGAGGCTTGGGATCAGAGGGCCTTGCAGGATGGCGCCAGCTCCTGCTGCAAATCCAAACCACTCCTCCAAGGGTTGCGGGGTACTTTCCTACTGAGCATCTCCAGCTCAACACACCCATGTAGCACATTGGCACATTGGCACATTCTCTATCTGCTGAACTCTCGGCCCTTCAGATAAAGCAGTCGACTCAATGTCAGAGCAGAGGATGATGGACTAGAAAACAA